ACAAACACACAGAGGCACAAACCAGTACAACCGTACACAGGACTACCATGAGCCGATGAACCCATTTTCCTAATGTTTGACACTCTGTAACTCGAAAACTCCATGTTTGGACTTTGTGCCCATGGTCACTTCACCAGGACGTCATAAACTATACATAATAAAACTACTAAATTTTCAACCAATTTGATCGGGATACTATACTTTGACCATAGATTTACCTAAATAAATATAATTTCTTGTAAAGATAGATGTAAAGATACATGTACAAAGAAAACGCGCAATGTTTTTTTTCATATTAAATTAATTTTACATAAATTAAACTTATAACTTTTCTTAAATAATCCATACCAATATAAAGATCTGATTTTAACGTCAATATTTGTAAGATGGTATTTTGAATTTCTTCTCAGTTATATTTTCTATAATATCCGTGATGTATTCTTGTTCTTCTGAATCCTCCTCTTTTTCGTTCTTCGCGTCATGACAAACATCTTTCTCCTCGTATTCCGCGATGCGAACTTCAGCTTTTCCCTTTGCCAGTTTGTCTACAAAAACAATTTATCAATTTAAAAATCTCTTCGAAATTATTTCGAGAACAAACATTTTCTTTCATTCTTTTTTCTTCATTACCTTTCTTTTTATTTTTTCGTTGTTCCTCGCACTGAGCGGCATTCTTCATATGAGCGGGTGTTAAACAGTGCTCGTCGTATTCTATGCGAGACGGGAATTTTTTTAGACAAGGGAAGCAGCGGGGATGCAAAAAGGTTTTCAATTGTTGATGCTTTTCGCTCTTTCTATGCGTAGACAAAGTTGTAAAAATTCAGATCGCACACCGTACCATATTTTCTCACGTTGAAATCTACAGACACCTGCAATCAAAAGATCATAAATAGATACAAATACTATTACTATATCAAATCTGTATGTGCGTCCAACTCTTTTCTAGAAGACATGATTCTTACTTTCTTTCCGCGTCATTTCGAGTTGTTCAAGCTAAGTTCACGCTGCTCCTCGGCAACTCGCAGCTCGTGTCTCATCATCAGATCGACCTTCAATTTGTACGACTCGTCCAACTTTTCCATCATCAGCTGATGCGCACGTCCACGTAGGTGAGTCGTATCCGTGGTGCTACTGAGCTTGTTCAGATCGGATAAGGAACGCTCATCCTCTTCAAGCACGCTTCTGGCCTTATCCAACCAAATCGAGAACGTCGTGAGTTCATTCTTGAACTTTGTTAATTCATATCTGGCACCAATGAGACGTTTCACTAATTTGTCAGTGCGATCTAACGTTTTGTCAAATCGGGTTCTAAGAAATCGACCGTTCTTCTCCAAAGTAGACACTTCGTCACTGAATAACACATTGCTGCCCGTCAAGACGACCTGTCGAATCTGATCCAAGCAGGATGAAACGGATCGACTGTGCGATTCAAGATCTTTCTTTATTCCTTTATCTTGGCTGTCTAAAATAGTGTCTTCGTCATCGGAAGTACGACGACGTTCGTCTCTACGATCTCTACGCTGGAATTAGTGGAACTTCCCTGATGATTACTTCTTAGCGGTAAATCCCGAACGCGATCTTCACTAAAGTCTAAAGTATCTCTACGTAATCCTAAAGAACCATAGGTCAATCGTTAGATTTTTGATACAGATATGCCTTAAAAAAATCTGATCAGAATCGAGAAAAACGGCGGTGTATTAATTCATTCAAAATATAAATATTTATATATATTTATAAATAATCCCACTAACCTCGCGCAACCGGCGTTGATCAATTAGCTCGATCCTCCTCCTTACGACGGCGATGAGGGGTGAATGGCGAGGTGCGGACAGGCGGACACACGGACAGGCGTGAGACCGCGCGAGCGGAAGCGTCCCGTTGAGATATAGGCTGCAGTCCATTTAATGCTATAAATGCTTCGAATTCTCTTCTCTTTTCTTTCAATGAAGAAAGAAGAAAACAAAGAACGCTTCGAAGCATTTGTAACATATCAAATGGATCGCAGCCATAATCGACCGGCCGGTCGCGCGCGGACACGCGAGATTCTTAAAATTCACACCGCCAGACGGATAGGCAAGGGTCGAGGTAAGGCAGGCCCATAAAGGCAGAAATGGGTACGCCGCGGGAACAGACTTTATATATTATTTAAGCACTCGGATACAGAGCACGCGGAGCACGCGAAATGTTACCGCGAGGACGTTCGGATCACGAAGGACGACAAATGACAATCCAGCCGCTGCTGCCGAGCGAGTCACGTAGGCGGACCACTGAGGACAAGTTCGGGTGGAATCGAGCTTGGATGAATAAATTAACACATTTCACAATCTCATTATATATAGACCCACACAATTTGCATAATTAAATAATATAATAAAAATAATAAAATGATATAATAAAATAACAATTATATTAAAATTGCTATTTTAATCGCTATGCGGGCATTTTGTTATTAAATATTATAATATAATAAATCGCGCGCGGATATTATAAATTATAATATATATACCTATCCAAATAACAATTCGTGCTCTGTTACCTTCACGGCGTGATTATCACACCGTGCATGCACAAACGCATCATGCTCGCTTCACGAAGTGATTTTGGCATACGTACCTAAATTTATACGTATTTGTAACGTTTTTGCCATTTTATCTGATATTTAAATATTATTTTTATATGTAGTGCGATCTTTTACGATCAATATTATAATTCATCATCAATTATATATTAATCGTAAAAGATCGCACTATGTCATCATGTGTGTGTTCACTATGCCATCATGTGTGTGTAATCACTATGCCATCACGTGTGCGTAATCATTGTACCATCACACGTGTAATCACGTGTGATGGCATAGTGCGACCTTCTATACGCGCACGTATGCCAAAATCACTTCGTGAAGCGAGCATGATGCGTTCGTGCATGCACGGTGTGATAATCACGCCGTGAAGGTAATATGACCCCGCACGAATTGTTATCTGGGATGTCATTTAACGATCATCAATATTTAGATAAAAATCAGTTTCTTGATTGTGATCAAGAAAATGATACAAAACAAAAGTCGTTTTTGTTCGACCCAACTGGCCAAATAATTAATATATTTAAAATTTACAACGTTTCAACCGCAATTTCGGTCCTTCTCAAGTGATTCATCAAGCTGTGCATCCTCAAAAACCGCGCACAGAATATCGATTACGTCGCTGACATCGTGCCCTAACCACATCATGCACACGTAAAGATATTCTGTGCGTCAAACGGAAAATGAGAACGGTAGCGCAGAACGAAGAAACGTCGCAAGCCATAACTGCGAACACATCAGTACAGCGTGACAGACGAAGTCATACTGTGATAATGATACAAGTATTAATGATAATGATGTTAAAGATTCATCAGAAAATTATAAAAGTGGTGATGATTTATTGATAGATCTTGTACGATCCTATCCTCATTTGTGGGACAAGTCAAACAAAGATTTTAAAGATTCTATTAAAAAGGACACATCATGGGAAGAAATATCAGCTGTATTTCATATATCAGGTAAGAATTTTATCATAGTTTTCTTTTATAATTATAAAAAATAACTTAACCTTTATAGCGGAAAGCTGTAAGAAACGATGGGAACGATTACAGCAATATTATTCCAAAGAATGACAAAAACTGGATTTTGAGACTAGAAGCGGAAGCCAAAGAATACAAAAAAAAATGGAAATTATATGACTCAACGACTTTTTTGAGCGAATATATATGCGTAGAAGAAAGTAAGCAAAGTTAAAATTTTTAATTATTGTTGTTAGATTACTTTATATTAGAACATTTTTACGAAATAGCGTATTTAAGTTGATATGTATGTGTTTGATTACAATTACTTATCGCAATTAAATTAAATTTGTGTTTTATGTAATATTTCAGCACATTTTCGAACTTTTCTCTTAATAATATCATCAATTTAGAAGAATCAACCACAGATGAACAGAAAAAAAATGAAGAAAGCATGGTTTTCGATATTAATGAATTTGTAAGTATTGATAACTTAATTGATAATTTATAAGTATAAGTTTTATTATTTTTATTGGAGTACAAATACATTTGTTATAATTTATGCAGAGTGAAGCAGAGAAAACATCAGAATGGGATACAAATAAAACTACATTTGGAGACAAAACTAATGTAATATATGTATTAAAATATTAATGTAATATATTTATTTTAATATTATTTTTTTTATATAAGAAATAATTCTTTGCAGGATTCATCATTATCAGAAGCAAATACATTCTCAAACACCTCAGAACAATCATTATGCACCTCGACGATACAAGATGTTTCACGATCAAAAAATTTGATTCAACCTTCTCCATCGCCTTCACCAAAGTTGATACGACCTTCTCCATCGCCTTCACCAAACTTAATACGACCTTCTCCATCGCCTTCACCAAACTTAATACGACCTTCTCCATCGCCTTCACCAAAGTTGATACAACCTTCTCCATTGCTATTACCTTCACCAAAATCAACTTGGTTGCATAAATCTAATACACAAAAAGATGATGAATTGGTGCAAGTTTTTCATACAGCATCTTCTTCTCTTACAAAACTAACAGATAAATATAAGCAAAGAAGGTGAAACGAGAGATCACGCAATGGCTAATATGGTATTAATAGAATTACAAGCTGCCAAAGAACCAAAGAAATCACAATTACGCGCAAAACTTATGTCTGTTTTAATGGAACACATGACTTCTAATGATTAAAAATAAATATAAGACTTATAACATAAATAAAACTTAATACATTTTACTTTGGCAAGTAGTATATAGATATTATTCGTGAATTCCATGTAGTCCTCTAAAGATATATTCAAGCTGCCATGATACTTGTCCTTCATTCATCATCCAAGTACTTATGTTGTTACGTTGGTTGTATGCCTCAGCAGTAGATCTATGATAATGTGTTGCTAATGGTCTCAATCCACTTTCAATATTCTGATGTACTTCAAAAACTTCATTATTTTCGGCATCAATAAATTGTCTGCGTAAATATTGTCTTCCATTTCTTTCCTCATTTTTTCCTCTACCATTATACAATTATGAAAAGCTACGCATGCTGCAATTATTTTGTCAACGTTATTAAGATTCTTATTTATTCATTTTTTAAATATTCGCCAGCGCGAAACTAAAATGCCAAAAGCATTTTCTATTACTCGTCTAGCTCGTGATAATCTATTATTAAATATTCTTTGTTGAACTGTAATATTTTTGCCAGGATAAGGTCTCATCATACGACAAGATATTTTAAATGCTTCATCTCCTACGAAAAAATAATGACTTTTTATGTTTGATTTGGGAAGGCAAACTTAATTTTAGGTAAATTTAATGCTTCTTCCTCTATTGCTTGTCCAAAAGATGATCTTGAGAAGATTCCCCCATCACTCTCGCTTCCATATGCGCCAATGTCAACTAATGTGAATTTATATTCATGATCACAGGCTGCCATTAAAACTGTACTAAAAGATTTTTATAGTTAAAACACATGGAACCACTGTTTGGTGGAGCCTGTATTTGAACATGTTTGCCGTCAACGGCTCCCACGCAGTTAGGCATATTCCAATCTTCATAGAAGCCTTTACTTATTTCTTTCCATTGTGCTTCATTTGGTGACTTTACATATTCAGGTATTAATATGTGTGCTATTGCAGTTGTAGTTTTTCCAATTATGTTATGAACTGTTGATTTACTTACACGAAACTGTAAAGCAATCGATGAAATCTCATCTCCTGTACTCAGATATCTAAAGAAAAAATATATTATTATTTTAACATATTAATAGAATAAATTTTTAATAAATTCTTTATTTTTACCTTAATGTTATGATTAAACGATGTTCAGGCGAAATTGTTTCTTGATTGCTAATTTTTTCCAAAAGTGGCGTTACTTTATTTACTAATTTATTAAATACTCCCAATGACATTCTTGTATAGTTAAAGAACTTATCAGGATGATTTTTTAATTTTTGAACCAAAAGTGCAGTAATAACCTAACGTATTACGACGAGTATTAATCGGATGCACCAACCATCGTCGATTTGCCCATTCCTTATGATATACTTTTCTTTTCTTCCTAATTATTAGTATTAATGCTAATAGCATAACATGCACATTAAACGCGCTCGAATTCCTTCGCGTTTTGGAAACGCCCGATCGTTTCATTCAGATGGCGCGACGCATGAGTCGCCACTTTCAAAGCGCCTCCAACTCCTTCCTCGCTCTCGTTCAGTGTCATGGCCGCTCTTGTTGCGTTTCTTCGGATGAGAAGAGTACGTTTTCTTTCTTTCGTAACTGATTGAGCTAAGCGGCACGTATTTTGGAGACCAACCGAGCGAGATTTGACTTCCCAAGGAGAGCTCACCGCCAGGAAAAGGAGAGTTGCGGCAGCTTGCGTCCGAGAGGGAGGATTGAGGCAAGGAGTCCGGTCCAGCGAGCAGGGCTCTTCCGATATTCTCATTTGGGACGCCATTTTGGAAGATCGACATTGATCGTAGTAGTACAAGGGGCGCTGTAAGGTTAATTCTCGTCTTGAGATCTTGGAATTGATCTCATTCTTGTGACTCTGGTTTATATTCTAGCCCTAATGTAATTTTAATATATGCATTACAATTTTACATTGTCAAATAATAAATAATATTGTTTAATAATAATAACAACAGTATAGATAATATAATAGTAACAATTTTATTACTTGACTTATTTTATTTTATTTTTGACAACTCGTATATACATTAATTGTGGCTAAGGTCTGTACTATGTCATAGTGTAGATCTTAGCTACGTTTCTGGCAAGTCAGTCTAAAGTATGCGGCTTTATTCTTTATCCTTTTTATCTATAGCAATTTTATTTTTTTTATTTTTTAATTATTTTTTATGTATTATCTCTTATGTATCAGGTTTCTGAAGAAGACTAAGTATATAAAGTCGAAACGTAAAACGTTAATTGTATTTAAAATTTGTTTAATTAAACGAGATTTTGTTTTTAAAGAGTGAAAACAAGATCGGCCCCATTTTTTTCGCATTCGATTTTGGTCATGAAGTAGGTACCAAACGAAAGGTCTCGTCAATCTGATTACGGATATGTCAGTCTCAGAGTGTACCTATTACAGTTCCAGAGATATCGGGCTCCAAAAATTCCAAAACCAATAGATGATGCCTGTTATGAACGTTCTCGGTAATGTCAACCTCGGGGTAGGATATACGACTCGGGACTCGGGTCAGAGAGAATAATCTTTATCGTCTTTTTGAGGAGACCGATAGCTTTCGTGGTCTCTGCGCTACTGGTTTCGCCGGTTTTGGAATTTTTGGAGCCTGTTCAGGATATCACAAAATTCTCACTCTGGTTCTGCGTCGTTTAACCTTCGAAAAATAGTCAAAGTTAACTACTTTTATTCACATTAATACATTGCAAAATAATTCACATTAAACATGTCATTGAACGATAATAGTACGTTAACATTCTGAAAGAAAGACTTTATTATAATTACGCTTTACGCGAATCAGGTGGATATAAGCGAGTTATCTCTAATAGTTTAGTATTAAGCGCATAATAATGTCGTAAGACAATTCACTTAAATTCTCGACAACGCATTCGAGTCCTGCAGGTATAGAAACATTACAAATAATTCCGCGAAGTAATATGACCGTTACGATCAGACTTATTCGGCACCCGCGAGGGTCGCGAATGCCTGCCGAATGTAATATGACAAACAGCCGGCCGCAATTATTATAGAAATATCGTATGCATTGGAGAGCCGGATTATTGTTTCTCTCCTTACCGTACCTGTATAGGTGTGGAATATAATAGTGGATGGAAGGATGCCGCAAGCCGGACACCTTCGCAAGGGCGGACAAACGTGTTGTCGCCCTTTCTCTCGTATAGGTTGCTGCCCACTTTCGTACGCAAAGTACCGGCAAATCCTTGTAGCTGCCCTCCGACTGTACACTAGGTACTTGGCAATGGCAAGGTGCCCCTTTAATGCAGGTTGCTGCCCTCAATCGTACGCACGGTACCGGCAATTACACAATGCAGTCGTACACCACACACGTGACGACGTCGAGCAACGACTCGACCGACCAACACATACGCAACAGAAGCGCGCCAGAACCTGTCTCGCTCGCTCCCCACGATGACTACGCCGCCGCGGAGATCTCTCCGTCGATAGATTACCGTCGCTCAATCCTCGGCGTCGATAATAGCGACCCTTTCCGAAACAGAGCCCGATATCTCTGGAACGGTAAATAGGTACGCTCTGAGACTGACATATCTGTAATCAGATTGACGAGACCTTTTGTTTGGTACCTACTTTATGACGAAAATCAAATGCGAAAAAAATGGGGCCATTTGCCTATGAACACTTGTTCTCACTCTTTAAGTTAATGACCTTTTTATAACTCGAAAATCAGCCAGCCTTCTATCATATAGTTTATTTTGTACTGTTAGTTTTTTTAATTTAGTTAATATTTTTGTCCATTAACACATTTGTTATAGTGATTGTGCAGTAAAAAATCTGAAAAAATAAATGTTTTTAAAGAGTAAAGATAGTATATATTTTGAAATATATGTATTTTATGTAAACATAACATTTAAATTTATTTGCAGTTTATTTTAGAACATGCCAAAAAACACCGTTTTATAAGCTCTCTAAGAAAGTTAAAAGGCAGAAGGTGAATGTTGAAGTTGTAGAAAAACTCAATTCAACAGATTCTTTAATTGAATTCGATCAATCGCATATTCAGCAAGCACATGTTTCCGTTAAAAAAGCCAAAGTTCCGTAATACCAGATTTTCTTCATAATCAAAAAGAATCTGAACTTTCTCATTATTCTTAACTTTTTCATCATTCTGTACTTCCTCACCGTTTTGAATTTTCTAATAATTCTGATCATTTTGAGTAGGAGAGACCGGGGCTAACTCGACATTGGGGCAAACTTGACACTAGACTTTTTGCTAATTTAAATCTATCGCAGAAACTTGTTTTTCCTACTGTAAATGCGTCTTTATGTGCTGGTATTATCAACGGGATTTGATGACATTCTAAGTTATGGTGTAATTTTTAGCGCGACATAAGCGTTTTTGATGGTGAAAAGTAATTTTTCTGATCTCTCGAAAATTTCTACTCTTTCATCGAGTTTTACTCTTGCAAACCTATATGTAAGTGATTTTCATGGGGATGCTCTATATGAATCCGATAATCGTTTTTGGATATTTTCAAAATTTTCATGTTTTTAAAGTGACAAAAGTGAAAAACGACGTCCGGGGCAAAGTCAACACCACGCCGTTTCGTTGGCTCCCAGTAACAAACGATGCTTGTCATGCAGCCGTATGGCTCATGACAAATGTATGCGCACGTCCGATCGCAAGTTTACCTGCATTAATTGTTTTTCAGACATGAGTTTAGATGAAGATAATTGAAAGTTCAACAATTTTTGATCTCATTATTTTAAATAATTGTTCTAGCTACTTTATTCCGAATTTTTGTACTTTTTGAGTACACAATAAACAATGTATTTTCATTTTCAGACAGCAAAAAATAAGTTCCAGATCAAATTGTATCGATCAGTCAAAGTGTTGAGTTTGCCCCGGCGGGGTGTCGAGTTTACCCCGGCATTTTTCAATTCAAAAATTTGTCTTTGCGTCACTTTTCCTTTCCTAGCGGCAAAACAAAGCGACGTACAGCAAAACTTTCTGAATCAATTTTGTACCTGAAGGAACACTTTTTAAATATATACCATTGAATTTGCCTAAAAATTTTAATTAAATATTAAAAATTGCCTTTAAAGAAATCGTGTCGAGTTAGCCCCGGTCTCCTCTACTCTGAACACTTTGATTTCGAGAATAACGATAATTATAGAGATATATTTAACATTAACAAACACACCGGCAAACAAGGCTCATTCAGATGACAACGATGATAACTCTGAAAATTGCGAGAATAGTGATAAGAACAATGAGAACCAAAAGAACGATGAGGAAAAAAATTTTCCATAAAGATATTTCATAAATTTATAAATTCACATTGTATAACATTTATTACTGTAATTAATATATAATTAATTATTTTATTGCCACCGTTAGATTTTTTAAATGTCTTATAATAATAATAATAATAATAATAAACTTTATTAACGGGTAATAAACCCTTTAGCGTACAAAGAGAAAAGAAAAAACAAGAACAATAAGATAAAATAAAAATTTTACAACATAATATGGAGAAATTCAGGTTACAAGAGTAGACGAGAAAGTTTTTGTTTAAAAGTTGATACAGAGCCACCAAAAAAGTCAACCCTATTGGAGAAATTACTTGCAGATATTATTAGCCTATTTACACACGAATTTGCGCTATACAAAGTACGGTGATACTCGAGGTGGAAGATGGAGTACTGTCTTAATTCTCTAGTCGGGATGTTAAAATAGATACGTTCCAACAAATCCGGACAATCAATAGAGTGATTAAGAAGCTTAAAAATAAATGTAAGATCAAAGGTTAGTCTCCTATTTTCTAACGATAGCAGATTTAATCTATCTAATATAGCGCAGTATTCATGGCAAGTAATTGACATGGGATTACCTAGCCGATAAGCAGCCATACGCAGGAATTTGTGCTGCACACGTTCAATCAATAACTGATGACATTCAAAATACGGAGACCAAACTATGGAACAGTACTCCAACTTGGGGCGAACTAACGTACAGTATAATAATTTTAAAGTGGTTATATTCTTTAAAAATCTACCCCATCGGAGGATGAATCCAAGCGTTCTATAAGCAGATGAAACTATTGATTGTATATGTGTATTAAATGATAAGTCCGCACTGAACAAGACCCCGAGATCTCGAGCTTCGCGCACTGCTGAGAGAGGTAAACCATCAAGAGTATAGTTATATAAATATGAGTTACGTCTACGAGAAAAGTGAATGACAAAACATTTAGAGACGTTAAGCCGAAGACAGTTCCTCCTACACCAGGCCTCAAGTTCAAATAAGTCATGTTGTAATAAAAGCGCATCAGCAGGTCCATTAATCCGGCGGTATAATTTAAGGTCATCAGCATACAGTAAGAAAAAGGAGAATTTAATAAAAGCAGCTATGTCATTAATAAATAAAACA